GGGGTAAGCAATATTTGTCTATTTAGCTATACTTTTAAATTTTGGTGACTACATGGCTGAAGAAACAACTTATAAAAATGGCAGTGAAGGTTTTTTTATTCTAGATTTCAGTCATGCCTAGTAGTTATGTTTTTATATGAAGACACTTAAGCTTAATTTCAAATACACTCTTTTCTTTATTTTAGGAGCCTTTTATCCAGGCATGTATGACGTTTTTAAAGAGACGGTGCCCTTCTATTTTGGGTGGTCTTGCCCCTGAGAAAGACCAGCCCAAAAGTGCTCAGTTGCCTCCAGAAACTCTGGCAACAATGTTGGCCTGTCTACAGGCTTGTGCAGGGTAAGAACAACAGCATGCTTGAAAATGGCTGTTTTATACCAGGATGGGAATAGATGGATAACTGTTGATGTGAGGGAGGGGATATTGAAAGAAAAGTGACAATAATTTAAGATAATGTAATGGTTTTTAACTCTTAAGCATGGTACTGATTATAAAATCCATTTAAGGTTTTTTTTTTGGTGGGGGGAGGGTTTGCTATAAGATGCATGTACTCTCCAGAAAGAGAGAGACAGAGGCGCGAAATCTCTCCCCCCTCCCCCAATAGGGGGATGGCCACACCACAGTCCCTTCTCTTCCATTCTCTTCTCAAGATCTTGGGCACGCATGCATACATGCTCAGTGTGAGTTTGAGCCACCAGGTCCCAGACTCCAACCACGGTCGACTATGTGGGTGTCCAGCTACATAGCCATTAAGCCAACTGCTGGTCCCCCATTTAACTTAATTTTTCACAACTGGTTTGGGATAGATCTAAATTTATTTTGCATGTGGCTATTTAAGTTCTCTCAACACCATTTCGTTGAAAGAATGCTTTCTCTTTTTAATTGTCTAATGAAAAAGCAATTGGTGGGGCCAGCCAGTAGTCTTTGTAGTTAAGGCAGCTGAATCCCACATGGCTGACTTCACACTTTGATTCCTGGACCTGGAGGCTTAAAAAAAACTCTGAATGCTTGTGCTGTGTGCCCAAAATCCCCAGAAGAGAATGAAGGAGAAGGGATGGTGGCATGGTCACACACCCTAGGAGGTGCTTTCTTAATTTGTCAGTCTCTCTCTGGCAAACCTGTGTACCCTACAGTAAATATAAATGTGTGTGTGTGTGTATATATATATATATATATACACACACACATACATATATGTATATGTATGTATGTGTGTGTGTGTGTGTTTACTTCTAGACTCAAAGTTCTGTTGATCTGTGTGTTTCTGTTTATATCAGTTTCATAGATTATTAACATGTTCTTATTCAGTTTTGAACTTGGGAATTTCGAGTCCTAGAACTTTGTTCTCTTATTTTCAAAGTCCTTATAGCTGTTCTGTGAATTTCTATTTGGCTTTAAAGATCAGACTGTCAATTTCTATTTAAAAAAAAATTGCAAAGAGACCCAGTCTCCTTGCATTGTGATGAGGATCTTGTGTCCATGAAGAGATTTATAACTCTAGAGTTGTGATAAAGTAGATTTTTTTTTTTGTAAATATTTTTGCATATGTGCTTGCCAAGGGCTGGGGGTGATGTGAGCACACACACACACACACACACACACACACATCCCGCGGGGGGTGGGGGGGAATGGCTATGCCACAGTCCCTTCTCAATCTCTCTTGATTTTGAGGTATGCATTCAACATGCACCCAGAGAAGTTTCCAAGCTAAAAGGTCTAGGATTCTATGGTCGGCTGTGTGGTAATCCAGTGCCTTAACCTCCATATCATCTATCTGCTGCCCTTTCAAAAAGTTGATTTATGACTTTTTTTTTTTTTTCTTTGCCAGTTTTGTATTGATAGAAATTTTTACTTGGCCATTTTTGCTCGTCCCATGTACTATTTTGTAAGTTAGTTTTTTAAAGATTTATTTAATTTCATTATTCATTTATTTATTTTAATTTGATTAGAGAGAGACACAGCAACAGAGGGAAAGTGAGAAAGCAAGTCACCAGGTCTGGGACTCGAACAGTGGTCAGCCATGGGGAAGCGTCCAGCGCCTTAGTCACCACACTACCCACTGGCCCCTCTATTTTGTAAGTTTTGAAGCATAATAAAAGGGAACCCCTTTGATTCTGTCGTGCAAGTTGTGCTGAGATTATGAGTCTCTTCAAAACTAACTTTGTTTTCAGTCCTAACCATTGCTTTCTTATCTCTTCATATGCATTTTGAATTTTATTTTTTGTTCCCTTTTTTATTCCTTAAGAGACATTTTTTGCTATAGAGTGCATGCACTAGTGGGAGAGACAGAAAGTGAGAAGTCATCTCCCTGGGGAGATGGCTACGTTTCAGTCCCTTCTCCATTCTCTTCGCAGGAATTGGCCACATACGTACATGCACCCAGCGTTAGTTTCAAGGTGCTGGGTCCAGGACTCTAACCATTGTCAGCCATGTGGAAGTTCAATATCGTAACCATTTCGCCATCTCCTGGTCCCTTGTTCCTTTGCTTTTGAAAAATTTACACGTACTTACTTAAGGTGGTGGTTCTCAACTAAGTATGATTTAGCTCTGTCAGAATAATTTGATGTTACTTTTGACTGTCATAATCTTCTAGAAACTTGTGCTTCTGGTATCTAGTGAGTATAGGCCAGTGATAACACTAATTATTACATGTATAGGATGGCTACCCATAGCAAAAGTACTCTGTCCTATAAATTCTAAATGTTCTCAGATTTTAAGGTTTTAATGTTTTGCATTTCTCATTCACATATTTTGATTCATCTGGAATCAAATATTCTGGAAGATAAAAATACACACTAAGAAGTGTTTTGTGGGGGCTAGCAGGTGGTGTGGTGGTTAAGGCACTGGATTCCCACATAACGGACTACAGTTTTAGTCCCAAAACAGGCCCCTTGAAAATCATGTTAGGCACATGTGTGTGCATGAGAGGCACAAAATCCTAAGAGGAGAATAGAGGAGAAGGGAATGCAGTGTGGCTATCCCTCCTGGGGGGGGGGGTGATTTCTCACTCGCCTTTTCTGTCTCTCTCTTAGGCGAGGTTTCATACCCTATGGCAAAAATCTTTAAAAAGTTTTGTATATATATGTAAGGGAGACAGTTACCTCAGTTCTGGGCCTTGATTTCTTTAGCAAATGAATTATCACTGCTTATTTTATCTTCATTTATTTTTTCTGGATAGATTTTTGGTTTAGTGCATATACGCTTTCTGGCGAGACTGACAGAAAACGAGAAATCACTCCCCAAGGGGGGGATGACCACAATCCCTTCTCTTCCATTCTCCTCTTGGGATTTTGTGCTTGCATGCACATGTGCCTGGTGTGAGTTTTAAGCTGCGGAGTCCAGGATTCAAACCTTGCCTTCCTTTCTCCCTTGTTTATCAGTCTTGTCGGGATTTGGGGCATGCACGCACACATGCCCAGTGTGTTTCCCATGCACCTTACTTTCATTTGATAACATTTTGCATGGAAAAAACAGAAAAATATGTCATGAGTTTTTCGATGATCTATTATCTTGGAGTTTACTATATAGAATTAGCTTCCTTATATCTTTTTCATTGCTGCATAATTTCTGCTGAATGGGCACTCTGTGCTCAGGTCAGCCAGTTTTCTACTGGTGCACATTTTGATTGTTTTTTCACTCTTCATATCACAAATAGTGTTACAGTGAATAAAACAGTGCTCTGTAGCATCATCTCTGCCAGTGTTTATTGGATCCCACTGGAAGTGGAATTGTTAGTGGGTTAAATGGCTGTGTAAACTGTTGAATACTGCAAGATTTCCTTATGTAGAAAGTTTTCTATTTTGAATAACTGTTAGCTGTGTGAATGACTTAGTCTTATGAATACCAGACACGTCAGTCTGCCAAGTGAGATATCTCCACGAAATTTTATTCCCAGGGTAGTTAATATTTTGTACACAGATACATTTTAAAATGCTGCTTCAGGGGTCAGCAGGTGGTATGGTGATTAGGGTGCTAGAATCGCACATGGCATGACTGCTTTCTGAGTCCAAGATGTGGCTTGCTTTTTTTTCTCAAGCACATATGTTATATCAAATTTAAAAAGTAATAATAAGGTATTGTTTTTTAAGTTTTGTTTTTTAAGTGCTGCTTCAAAGTGGTACTAGTGTCCTCATCCTTAAAATATCAATAATTTTTGCTGTCTTAAGCATCTGTTGTAAACTAGTGATTTTACTTCTTGTTATTACTAAGGTACATTTATAAACTCATACCGTTAGGAGTGAAAGTCTTCCATTACTTTTCTGTATTCTAATATTTTTCTTGACATCAGTAGGTCATTGTTTGTTACATATGTAGTCCATGTTCTTACCATTGTTATTTTTTTGTTGCCACAGGTAGAAATCTTTATCCCTTTTGCTGTAATTACTTAATATAGATATTCTTAGTACTGTTAGCACCCTGTCTATTTTTAAAATGGTGTCTCATTTGTGTAGTTGAATAGAAGGGACCTCACAGTTTTATGAGACAATATTGACACTCTTAATTAGGAAGATGGGATTTTGGTCGTATATCCTACTTGACATTTGTTATAGAATTTCTTCACTTTTCTTCCCTTAAGGAGTGTTTCTCAGGAGTTATCGGAAACCATTTTAACCATGGTAGCCAACTGCAGTAATGTTATGAATAAGGCCAGACAACCACCACCTGGAGTTATGCCAAAAGGACGCCCTCCCAGTGCTAGTAGCTTGGATGCCATTTCTCCTGTCCAGGTAAACAAATGGTACTTTTGGTACATCTGCATTTATTCATATTATGAAATAGAATAATGTATATCATGATTAATTATCTGAACTTACTACATTTTAGATAAGTGCATGTATAGCATCCACTTATATTTTAATGGAGATCCATGAATAGGTATTATAGTTGAAAATAGATTTTAATCATCAAGTAGAACATGACTGAGGAAAGAAACAAATTAGCTTATTTAGGTAAATGAAAGGGACTCTTTTAAAAATAAGAATTACTTAGACTCTTGGAAAATAAGCACTGCCTTTGAACCTGATATGTCTTGTTTGTAGCTTCACGGGCCAAGAAACAGTGCTAGAGCATAACGACTTGTTATAACTGGGGCTCTTCAGCTCTCAACTGAACTGCTCTTTTAAAAACAAGGTACATTTAAGTTACTCCCTGACATCGACCACCCCCTTCTCTCTGGGAGCAACACAACCTGCTTCTATTTTCAGCTGCATTGAATGGCAGATTGGGGTTTAAGAAAAGAAAGAGGCACTTAGTTATTCTTCAATGGTGGCTTTATAAAAAGTACTCGCTTTTCTTTTTCTATAGTCATGAAGGTATGAAATGGTGCCACAAACTAAGAAACTTGGGAAATATAGTATTATTTAAAAAATACTTTGGAGAATAGCATACCTTGTTTTTGTTTGTTTTTAGAATCAGCTGATGTCCTCAAACCCTGAAGATTCTCAAGTTTTGACTCAATTTGTTTTAACTAGAAAATTTATTTCTGATTCTAATACCTTTATCGTGTTTAAAGTTAACATCTTAATTTGAGGTTATTTTTGTTTTTAAGTGGCTTGTTGGAAGTTGCAAAGACTTAATGTAATAGCTGCCCCATGTCATTCCTAAATGTTCAATAGTACAGCTATAGGGCAGTTCTTAAATGTTTATTCTTGAAGTTTTGTAGTCCTCTTACAACTCTAGTACTTTGGCAGGGGTGAAATCTTTAAAACATACATGACATAGTAAGAAAACTGACAGGCACACTTGACTTGATCTTGGGATTCAAGTACCATGATTGTGTGAGTGTTGGAGTTTGCTTAAGAGTATGAAGAGCTGTTGCTTAAAGATTGCTTTGCCTGTGTCAGACCTGCCTTTCCTTGAAGTATGTTTAATACATTTTTATAATGTTTTTCTTTAGATTGACCCTCTCGCTGGAATGGCATCTCTTAGTATAGGTGGTTCAGCTGCCCCTCACACTCAGAGTATGCAGGGTTTTCCTCCAAATTTGGGTTCTGCATTCAGTACCCCTCAATCACCAGCAAAAGCCTTTCCACCCCTTTCAACCCCAAATCAAACAACTGCATTCAGTGGTATTGGAGGACTTTCATCACAGCTTCCAGGTAAGGGGTGGTTGGGTTGGAGATGGATTATTTGTAAGTTTCAGTCTGCCTTAGTGTATGCTACAAAGTTTGGAGTTGATGTTATAAGGAAAGCTGCTTAAACGAAATTGTGAAAGGTGCTTCGACATGCAGTTTCAAAGAGGATTACATTATTACGTCCTATAAGTCAAATTGAAATAAAGAATTAGGATGTTTGTAGTTATAAAATTAGTTGTATTATTGAATAAGGATTCTGTGTTAACCAAATGGTAGTATAGACAGTAACACATGTGTTACTCACACATTCTACATTTTCTAACCCTCATAAAAAGCCTTACATCAAGATCTCACAGCTTTACTAGGTATTCCAGGTAGGTATAAAAAATATATTTTGTGCTTAATACATGCAGGCATATATCATCTTCCTTGTTGGATTTCCTTGAAAATGATAGTAAATCCCTAATACTTTATCGATTATTTTGGCTGCAGTGGAAGTTATATTTTTGTTTGTGTCTTCCTGTGTCTCCTGAGCCTTCTGTGCTTTTTATATGCAGCCTATCAGTTAGGGTTCTAAAACCTAAGGACTACAATATCTTGATCCTGTAACCTGTTAATACTGTTATGTGGTTCTAGCCTAGACAGTTCATTCACTTAACCCAAAGTTATTGTACTAAGGCCTTTCGTAGTAAAGCTGTAGCTATTATAAAAGATTCTTTTTGCCAGAGGGGAGAGAAATAAAGAAGTTCTGACTTATGGTAACGATAATTAATAGTAAGAGAGCAGCATGAAATTCTTACGTTTTAGTCACGAGAAAAGCAAGCCAGCTCCTCTTATTTTGACTCCCTGGGTATATACTGTTATGTGGTTTGGGAATGTATACATCAAAAATTTTATGTATTTGTATCAAGAATATAAATAGCCTAATCTTAAAAACCTTGGTATTGCTGTTTTTGTTAGTTTAGGTTCTTTATAAAATTGAAGAGACATGATAAGGGAATTAACAAAGACTTAAGAACTTAGTATCTGAAATGTGGGTTAAGTCCAAGAATGTGAGTAATGATAGGACTTCTGGCTACCCTCATTCTCTCTAGTAGGTGGTCTTGGCACAGGCAGCCTGACTGGTATAGGAACTGGGGCTCTTGGACTCCCTGCAGTGAATAACGACCCTTTTGTACAGAGGAAACTGGGCACCTCTGGATTGAACCAGCCTACATTCCAGCAGAGTAAGATGAAACCTTGTAAGTGGTAGTGTTGTCTGTGACTGTGAAGTGTGACTGATACACATAAAAAATTTTTTTGATTGTATGTCTGATTTGTTGTCTCTAGAATTATATGGACAAAAGAACTATGCATTGAATGCCTCCCAGACCAAAGGGAATCAATTTACAAATTTGAATCATTAAAATAAAAATTAGCGCTATCTTCCTGTTTTTGCTCTGGATTTCCAGAATAAAATGTAATGGTTAGTAAGAAGCAGTATCCTTAGGGTATTATCCTAAAAGTAAAGAGTAGGTATGATAAAGAGAAAAGATTTCATCGGTTGAAAAATATATGTATGTAAATCTTGTATATAACCTAAACATTTGTTTGTATTTTTTTTGGTTATTTTGGGTTTTTGTTACCGTTTTTTTCTTTCCTTTTTTTTAAAGTTTAGTTTAGTTTTTTTTGTTTGTTTGTTTGAGAGATTTTTACTACAGGGCATGTGCACTGGCCAGAGAGACAGATACAGAAAGTGAGAAATCACACACAGCCGGGAGGGTGGCCATGCCTCAATCCCTTTTCTTCCATTCTCCTCTCGGGATTCTGGGCATGGGCATGCACACACACACACACACACCACACACACACACACCCGGCATGAGTTTAAGCTGCCAGGTTCAGGACTCAAACTGCATTCAACTACATCAGAGTCCAGCAACATAATCATTACGCCATCCGGTGGTCCTTGTTTATGTTGTTTTTTTAACAAGTCATTTGTTAGAAAATTTTTAGATTTTTGTTTCTGCGTGGCATTTTATAAAGTAATTAATTATCTTTACCTATTTTTTAAGGTTAAAGTTTTATAGTATATAACCTTATAATAAATATTAATATATATTTATATATTATGTATAAGGTTATTATAGTTTATAATCTTATAATACTATAAATATAACATCACATAATATATAATATTTAAAACCCAACTTTTTAAAAGTATATTTTATGTTTTTTTATGTTTTTCTGTCACAGGAGAGGTAGGTACCTTTGACAGGGTCTTGCCATACTGCAGTCCTCCCCTCATGTCCTACAGGCCTAGATCACAGGTGTGTTTACCGTGTTCAGGTCCAACCACGAATCTGATCTTGGGCCTCCCGTGTGGCTCCAGTATAGCACTTAGTATCTCCTGCTGGTACCACTGCACCTGAGCCTAACATTACTTTTTAAATTTCATTTTTTTAGTAATTATATGATCCTGCAGTTACAGACGCTGTCTTTATAAATCTTTAGGTGTAATTAACAGGTTTTTGTCATTGGAACTAAATAGTCATGATAGCCTTGAAAATATAAAATTTAAAATGTTAGTGTGAAAGTCTTGTCTGAATGATATGTTTTGTAGCATGCCTTTGTGTTTATATCAGTTTGTTGTGTTCAAATTTTTATGTTAGGTGTGAACTTTATTATAAAGTAGCAGAGACTTGTAAAAACCTCTAGTGAGGTTGTATGAAGGGTAAGTGCATTATGAGTTTGTATCTACCAAACCGTCATATTGTAATAAGCCCTCATGAAGAAAATGTTAAAGTAGAACTATGTCAGGCATTCTTGTTTACAAAAAAAAATACTGTCTTCCCTGAGTGCTTTAATATTGAAACTTGACCATTTAATACTTTTATTCAGTTAATTTTTTCTCTTAAAATTAGAACTATCTTAGGCTTGTTGGCTCTCTGATGTATGGAAGAGTGGAGAGAGGGGTTAAATAAAATGATTGCTTTTATTTTTCCAACAGCGGACTTGTCTCAGGTATGGCCAGAGGCAAACCAGCACTTTAGTAAAGAGATAGATGATGAAGCAAACAGCTATTTCCAGCGAATATATAATCACCCACCACATCCAACCATGTCTGTTGATGAAGTGAGTATCTAGGGTGATCTAGTTAATCATTGTTGAGGCAAATCGTAAGTGCCCTTTTCCAGATTTTTAGAAGTCCTTCTTAAAATGTTTATAAACCTCAGTTATAATCTCAATCTCTGTTTATTGGTAAATATTCTGCTTCAAAAGGGTTCTATTAAGAATATTTGAGGAAGGTTCTTAGTATTTGTTTCTTTTATATACATATTGTTTTTGCCTTGTTTTTCCAGGTACTAGAAATGCTCCAGAGATTTAAAGACTCTACGATAAAGAGGGAACGAGAAGTATTTAACTGTATGCTAAGGAACTTGTTTGAAGAGTATCGGTTTTTCCCCCAATACCCTGATAAAGAGTTACATATAACAGCCTGCCTATTTGGTGGAATAATTGAAAAAGGACTGGTCACTTACATGGCACTAGGTCTGGCCCTGCGATATGTTCTTGAAGCCTTACGCAAGCCTTTTGGATCCAAAATGTATTATTTCGGGATTGCTGCACTAGATAGATTTAAAAATAGGTGAGTGGATGGGTGTTTTCCATTTTAGCATAAAAAGCAATGATCATCGTTTATCAGTGGTGTGTTCCCTCCCCCCACCCAGTCATTATAGATGAACAAATTTTAGTTATTTGACTAGAAGAGGAAAAATTGAAAACAGTTCAATTCATTATAATTACCAAGTGGTAGGGTAACTATAAAATAACAGTGTGGTGGGGTTTGGTTGTTCATTGAGGTATACTTTACATACTGTAAAGTCACCTCTCTTTAGGTGTACAGTTCTTTAAATTTTGAGAAAATTTTAGGCTTGTAGTCAGTACCACTGATTTTTGTTTAGAATTACTTATTATTTAACTTGCTGTAGTCATAAGAGAGACAGAGACAGGGGAAGTGAGAAAGCAAGCCACTAGATCTGGGACATGAATTCCCCAACATACCGTAACCTTCTGGTCCCTAT